TGTGTGTGTGTGTGTGTGTGTGTGTGTGTGTGTGTGTGTGTGTGTGTGTGTGTGTGTGTGTGTGTGTGTGTGTGTATGTGTTTCTACTGTACAAGTATGTATATAGTATCAGTGCTCGTTTGGGATCGCTTCGCCGTATTAATCTTCTACTCGTCTTCGCCGTAGACACCATGAAGTGTTCCCCTTTTAATGTCTACATAGGTCTGTGTAGTAACGAACCCTCACACACATGTGGTATCATCATATTGTGTTGTGGGATTTATTACGCTGCCCGATATCGTTGTATGATCTCCTATTCGCCGTTGCCGATGTCAAGAGATGCAGATGAGGGTGAGTGTCGGATACTACGAGTACCGGTACTGTCTCTATTGAACAATGTCATCGGTGTTCTTGAATAGACTGTGAGAAACCATTGTCTCCTAAAGCCTACCAAGGTAAACGCTTTCTCTTTCTCTTTGAGGTGCACACTCAACGTTATCATCTCGTACTATACCCTCCACAACAGGCGTGGCCGGCCATGACCATACCGACGAGCATGCAGGAACTCGCGATGCTCTAACAGATCCGCGTGACGGTGATGCGGTGCAATACGCACCCACGCGTGGCTCTGGTTTCGAGCATGGGCACGGCGCCGATGATACAGACAGCAATGATGATTCGATGCTACGGCTGAGTGATGTGAATGCCATACCCGGGCGACCGTGCAGGGGAGTGTCAGGCCAGGGCCAGAGCCATGTGGCGATGGAACATTCCCATACAGTCCTAGAAGACCACAGGCACACGGGTGATACTCACGCTAGTGTGCAGGTGAGTACCCAAGCGCTTCGAGAGGTCCACATACACACAGGCACACAGGCAGGTAGGCGGAATCATATAGGCGCGCGTTCGCCGCCCAGAGCGGTGCGTGGGGCGGTGAACTGTGTGACAGCAACACATACGCCGCAGAAGCTCATGGACCAAAGGTCTGAGCAGGGGCCTACTGCGGCACCCACCCACACACAGCTCACCACGAGCGTACCACCTATCAACACGGCATACACGCACATGCACATAACACACACACATACACAGACACAGACACATACGCATACTCAGGCGGATGTGGAAGGTACCGTGAGGAGCAGTACAGAGCGGCGTGGGGCGTCATCGGTTGTTGGTGGTGAGCAGAACGGTGCGGAGATTGAGGGCTTTGCGCAGACTGTGGCGGTTGCTGCAGCCGAGGTGATCACATACGTACCCCGGCGCAAGAAGAAGTCCATCTCAGCCAAGCGAAAGAAACATGTGGACACGGCCGCTCAAGCGACGGCCAGAACGAACGGTAAACAGTCAGGCACACACGCACCACATGGGCGGGATGCAGACGTGAACGTGCATGCGCTACCAGAAAAGGTGTCACAAGCGATATCAGCAACGCACTCCCTCAGTCCGATTGGGCCAGGGACACGGTCACGTGCACTGCCTCTGACTCCCAGTCAGTCGTCTGACGAGCGGTTTATGCAAAGCGGACAGCCTCTGGCGCCGTTAGCGTCCAACCCAGCTGCGACAGTGGAGAACTCGTCTCGCGTGCAGACAGCTACCACTCCGACGGACCAATACTCGACCGCACACGCTGCTACAGCATCACACACACTCAACAGCACTACTATAACGAACCAGTTGTCATCCAGCCACGCTAATATGGAGGCGTGTAGCGATGCAAATAGCACACACAGCTCCCTTGCACACAACATGCTCTCCGCCGAGCGAGTCCGTCGACAGCTCCCTATGTCTGTGCTCAGCACAGGGCTGGTGTGTCGCAAGAGACCCAAGAAACGACGCATAGTGCGCTCGGCCGATTCAGCCCAGGTACGCCACGCTTGTGTGTGTGTGTGTTGTTGTATTTGTTTTTTTTGCTACGTATGCGTATGTACCGCTCAGATGTGTAGGGACGTTGTCTCTGTATGCAGGTGCCTGTTTTGGTTTATATTTTTGTTTTTGTTTTATGTGTATATCCTGTGCTTGGTATTCGGTGCCCCTTGCTCAATCGACTGTTGTTCTACATAGCGTTCTGCGTGAATTTGTATGTGAAGAGACACCCATCTAACTGCTGTCCGCCTTCAGTGACCAGTATGATTTGCTTGAATCCAAATGTCTAGACACGTGGACATCTGCATCTATAGTGATATCATTACTGAACTTGCCCAGATTCGTTTCATCTGGGTTATTTAGAGATACAATCGATATATTTGCTGTATCGCAGTGGCTCATTCCATTCCATACTCCTGATAAAATCCAGGGTCTTGCGGACGCTCACCAAGCTCAGCCCCACTCAACACAGCACCGACTATTCACACTGTCGCCCAATAGAAGGACGGATTTAAACAGTCTCAGCACGTCGCGAGCCAATCAGAATCTGGGACATGAGGGCTGCAGTAGTGCACACATTAACACGACAATCAGTGCCGTCAATGCGGACACGGCGCATATTCCATACGCACCAAATGACCTAGTCAAGAGAAAGCTACACTCCCCTGGGCGTGTGTCGCCTATTCGGTCTGGCTCAGGATTATCCACGCGTGTAGAAAGTCATGGTATGCCCGCCTGTGCAGAGAGCGGGCGCGTAGACTACGGCAGCGCCCCCAATAAGTCAAATAGTAGTTCAAATATAACACACGCCGGTTACCAACAGACGGATGCAGAGAAATTGGTTGTACAACGGAGAAAGGTGGCTCTAAAGACAAAGCACATGCCGTTGGTATGGAACGATACCGATGAGAAGGCGTTACCAGCACCCTTGGCCGTAGCACGACGGGGGACTGGCGCCGCAGGCCGTGGTGTGGGGCGTGGTGGCCTGAACGGAGTTAGTAGAACGTCGAATGTACACAGTTTAGGCCATGCAACCACAGAACAACGGTCGAATCAGAGCCAAAAGACATCGACTGCACACGGTTGCGGTGCTAGCAATGTTATGGGAAATAAGGATGAGAATGGGGTCAGCAGGGCAGCGAATGCCCACAGTTATAGTGCCAGCAATATATTGAGAAATAATTCTGAAAATGGGATCAATGGGGCTGCAAACGTACAAAGTTATAGTGTTAGTAACGTAGTGAGAATGAATGATGAGAATGGGGTTAATGAGGCAGCGAATGTACACGGTTATAGTGTTAGTAATGTAATGAGAATTAATGATGAGAATAGTGTCAGTGAGGCAGCGAATGCCCAGAATGGCCTTGGTCGTTCTTGTGCCAATGTGAGAAGGACGGGGCTAAGCACACAAGCATCGGAAAACGTAGAGCCAGTATATACGGCCGTGAATGGGACGGCGCACCAGGGACAAGCGGAAAAACAGGTTATAGGGGAGATAAAGATGTGTAGGGGTAAGAAAGCAGATGGAGAATTTGGTACCAATGTGCATGCGAGTGCGAGCAAGCTGCTGAAAGGAGCGGACGGAAAGGCATTCGCATTGGACTGGAAAGACCCTGCTCTAGGCTCTACGCATAAGGCCATTCGAGGACCTTTAAGTATAAGTAATATCAATGTAAATAATATAAGTAATATCGATGTCAAGAAGGAGTTGGCCAGGGCCAGGAGACCCAGCAACAAACGGAGGACTGTGTTGTGTGATCGGATGGATAATGCGAGAAACAGCAACGTCCAGGTGATGGACGTGACTAGGAAGGCCAGGCTGGACTTTTGCTCCGGAGAGACGACGGTGAGTATTGGGCTGGTAGTTACAAATGTGTCGATCCGTACGTACGTTTTGAATTTGTCGGTATCTGTTTGAGGTAGATCGGATATGTTGAGTATATGATTGAGTTTCTCCAGGATGGAGGAGGTGTGGTTTAAAACGGCAGCCAATCCACAATCTGGTTGCTATGGTGAAATTTAGCAATGTACTCGTTACGCTGGTGCATCTCGGCGTTTTTCATGATATAATTTCTTGTCATACATGCATATTTCAAATCCAGATCAATCGAGTCGGTATGTGCGTATGTGCGTCTCCATGGTAGTTTTAGCGAATTTGTTCCATGCCGTTCCTGGGGGTTCGTTCTCCTTGTGTGATGGATGTTGGTATAGGTTAAATATAGTTTGTTTCACGACCTCTATCGCCTAGTACTTATGAATAGATATCCATCACGAAGTTGTGCGTATAATTGCAAAATCAACACCACGACATCTTGCTGCGAATCGTTGGACCAATTTAAGAGTTTATTTGGTCTTTCTAGGGTTTAGAGGTTTTTATTGAGACGTCATTGTTGCATGTCATTTTAAAGGACAAGGTGATTGTTCTCAAATCGGTTTAGGAACGACGGGGACTGTCAGACAACCAAACTATAGGGCACCCTTATCACACTGATCGACTTGACCCGCAAATATCTCCCTCCGTCCATTACACGCCCAGGATAATTTCAAACGCACTCAAACATATTGTAGTGTTTTTCCAGTAGTTTTGTCGTGATATGTTGCCCAACTTATGATCCATCTTCACTCGAATGCTGGACTAATCGATCCATGTCGGTGCAATGCGTTGTATTTCGGTGCATCTCACTAATACACATTGCAACGCCTTTTTAAACAGCCGACTCTGGCCCGCGCCGAGACCACCACGCGAGTAACAGATTTCGTGACGGTCGCGCGTGTCAAACGGAGGTGACCTAAGGGTTATAAGCGACACGCTAATTTATGTCGCAAAATATAGATGACCAAATTAACCGTCAATACGCGGGTCTATCGGAAGCAAGACTAAAAATTCCGAGTATTATTACACATCGATGGAAATCGCAAAATAAAGATGTCCAATGCAAGGTCTTTGCTAATTTGGTACAGTTCAAGCCTCTAGGTCATAGTCAGTGGGCTGCCGAGTATTCCAGCGAGGTGCCCGGGTTCATCATTTTGCATTTAGATGTTGGAGGGAAGGATGAGATTGCTGCATGTAGCAGCATGGTACAGTAGCACTCTTAAATGTCACTCACGACTTGGGCGATACTATGAAAGGCTGCGCTGGGCGTATGACCGAAACAAAGTCTCGTCCACAAAAATAGACACATACACCTTTTCTTTTGCAAGTGCCGACGAATATATCATATCCTTCAACGAATATATCAAATCCAACAGCTCTTTGTGTCACGTGTACCAAAATCCGGACATAGACCACTCACATATTCATCTCGTACCTCACTATACGAGTAGCCACTCTCCAGTCATTGTATTGTGGCGTGTGGAGGTCAGACAGTGCAACCACGCCCGACATGTGCTACCCTTATAGTCCCCCATTCGCATTAAATAGTAAAACAGAGTACGCTCAATGATAACGTGATATATCTGACCACAATGGCTCACATCGTTGGTCTTTTCCACTGATTTCAGCATATGGCTTTGTAAACCTTTATTTGTGAGTCGTCAATTATCCGGCAGGTTAGCAAGGATGTTCCATACGCACACACAATAGCTTCCACACGTATGCAGTCTAACACCCCTCCTGGCCAGTCATCACTGGTGCATACCTTCGCAGATGATACAATGTAGCCCATTGCCACCTGAATTGGTGGTGTTGCCGTCCTGTAGGCTGCTACGTGCAAGTCATTGTGCAGTCAGTGGCCATTGCATCCACGCAGCCAGAAGGTGCTACGATCCCATTCCAATTAAAAGCCGTGCCACGTCAGAGGCTGATATTTTCAAGCCGTCAACTACCCAGACGGCAATATAGTCCCATGCCCAGGATCAGTAGGGCCATACAGCTAGGTTGTCCAGGGGGCTGTGCTACTCACTAGTCTTCCCCCCCCCAAATCCCCATGCACTAGAAACCATTAGTAGTCATTCTCAGTCACCGTCACGCAATGCAGCTGTTTGGTGGTTCAGAACTTTTAAGCTCCCAGGGCATCCTGCGGGGCATTTTGGTAGGTATTTATGGTATAGAGTCACGGCCCAACACCAGGCCAATCGAGACCCGGAACACTAACAACAATACTCTCCATTTACAGCAAAATCATCTCGTAGTCACTTCGTGACGATGTACTGCCAGTCCGTTACTAACAACTATCAAGTGATCGCTATATCGTCCAGTAGGCTGTTCGTAGGATCCTGATGATAAGTACAACCCACTATCGATTGATCGCTATATCGCCCAGGAGGCTGTTCGTAGGATCCTGATACCAAGTACAACCCACTATCAATTGATCGATATACCATCCAGTAGACTGTTCGTATGATCCTGATGATAAGTACAACCCACTATCTCTGATAATAAGTAGAACCCACTATCAATTGATCGCTATACCATACAGTAGGCTGTTCGTATGATCCTGATATTAAGTACAACCCACTATCAATTGATCTCTATACCATTCAGTAGGCTGTTCGTATGATCCTGATAATAAGTACAACCCACTTTCAATTGATCGCTATATCGTCCAGTAGGCTGTTCGTAGGATCCTGATAACACGCAGCACTATCGTCCACCATGGACGCATTCGTGCTGAACGCTCCATCGGCCACCGGGTCTTCGTCTTTTGCCACGCACGTGTTCTCGTGTGCTTGTGCTTGTGTGGCTTTCTGTGAGCTCGAAGATGGCGTTAAGCTACCCGTCGAAGGGAGCTTACGCGCACTGTTAGCAACGTCCTCTGTGTGTGTGCTTGGGTCTGTGTGTGTATTGTTTAATCCCGCACTATTCGCGCTATTCGTCGATTTTGCACCTTTATTCTTATCACCGGTGGTCTCTCCTTCCTTCTCCCCGTTGCGCCCCAGGCCTGTTTCTGCACTCACGTCCTCAGACACGTGCGAAGAACTAGCATTAACACCGCCAAAAGGCCCCTCCGTAGCCCCATTCAGGGCATCAGAAGACTCATTCAGCGACCACAGGGGTGTTGCAGGACCCAACGCCGATGCATTCAACACTGACGCATTGAGTGCCTCTCCCGACACTGAGCTCAGCGGCAGCATAGAGCCCCCTCTCCGCTGCTTGGCCAGCCACACCCACTCGCGCTGCTCCACCCCGCCCACACACACCTTGCGACTGCGCACGCGGGAATCAGCGCTCACTCGGCGAACAACATCGGGCCACAGAGGGTCGTATCTGGACTCGCACACCTCGTCACGTACGTGTACCAGCACAGCATCGCCCTGACGTTCAAGAATCGTCATGACATGCTGGTACATGTAGCGTATCTCCGCGAGCTTTTCCTCGCGTGCGCTGTTGAGCTTCTCGTATGTGAGCACGACACATCCGATCACCGCCACTACAACTGATAGATACAGGCACGCCTGTAGGTAGATCTTGATATTGGCGGAGGAAAAGGCCCCATCATTGGCCATAACCTCGTTGTATAGACCCCGGATCAGACCCATCAGGCCAAACACCAACAAGGCCAGCGCTACGCACAGCCATACGCCTTGCCAGCGGAGGGGTGCCAGTTTGTTAGTCACAAAGCTCTCGACATTACCCAACCACACTCTAATAAAATGGCTCCTGTCGCCGTCTTCACTGTACGGATGAGTGTTCGCTGGGGCTGACCGGGTCACACTCGCACTACTGCCGTGCACATATGTACTAGCGCTTGTCACAGGCGAATTACCCATACTAGTAGCATCCATTGCATACGCGTCACTGGGTCGCTGTGACATTGATCGTCGCTCCCTCGTGTGCACGCTGCTTGCTCCCGCGCTCCTGAGGCGTTCTCGGTCTCGCTCTTGATGGTCCAGTCTGGCTACGTACTCTCTGTCTGAGTACGGTCTAGCTGTCGTGTACATCGGCGTGTGTTGCCCTGGCACCCCACCAAGACTGCCCCTATTATGTGATTTGTGAGACCTAGCTGTGTGTAAACCAGAAGAACCTCGTGTATACGCATCGATATCATCGTCGTGCAATATGTCAGTCAGGGCTCGGGCGTCCTCTGTATCTGCACGTGCATTGTGTATGTTGTCATAGTTACCACCACGCACAGCCTCACTCGCACGTGTACGTCCCATAGACTGGGCCCGGTCAGACCTCCCCATACGTGCGGGGGCTGTATGTATCGAACTTTGCCGTTGTGTTCTCTCGACTACAGACGGCTTCTTATGTGTCTGTGGGTCTCCATCATGCAATCCTACACTGCTCTCCCTAGCTGTACGTCTATTAAGAGATTGTCCTCTGTCTATATCCCGAAACTGCCTGTGTTTAGTAGAGCTGTCAGTGCGATCAAGCAAAGCATTTGCCGGCGAGTTCTTCATATTAACTGTGCTACGGGGCGCTAAGTTGCTCTCTATTTCTTGATCCTGGTCTCTTTTACGTTTGATGTTGGTAGTGTTTTTACTGATGCTGCCGTGTGTGCTGAGATGTACGTCAGCATCCCCTGCAGCGTTTGGGTATTTCGATGGCGTGTGAGATGTCTCGGGAGTGCTACTGGTTTCCTTGGTAACCGTGCACCCTGAGTAATTGGTGGAGGGAGTGTGACGCCGAGGTGTCACGCCTACTGCAGAAGCATTAGTTTCTTGTTTGACAGGGACAATAGAAGACCCCCGCGGCGAGCTTTTAATGCAGATCATAATATGTACAGTCAGGCCAGAAAGGATTAGAGCGATTGTCAGTGTGCCAATAGAGGCGAATACTCAATCCACAGGAATGTTACGAGCATCTAAATATACTAAATATACTGGGCAGCATGCAGTTGGCACAGGCAGTATATGAGAGAAGTAATAAGTATAAACTGAAAAGGTACTAACAGTCAGTGTATGTTAAAAGTGATGAGTATGCATATGGTGTGAATAAGGTGCATATATAGGCTGTGAATAAGGTGCATATACAGGCCTTCTGTAGTGTCGTTTTAGGAGGCACTGTCTGTAAACGCGTTTAAACCCTTTGATACGAGTGACAGTCAGCGACAGTGTGTGACTATAAAAAAATTACAAGTTTCAGTTGCGCGTCATGTTTCGATTTGCGCCAAATAAGATTTGAATGTCACAATACTTCTATGTCGTAAATGGATCAAGCGCATGTTTCAAATACCACACTTGTACTTTCAATTTACTACAGCGACAGGATATATTCTTTATTGTGTTTTTATTATAGATAGCATCGCTGAACAGCTGATCGACAAAAGATAACGAGTGACTAAATAAAGTGTTCCCTTCTAATATTTATATATATATATCTAATAGGGACGCTGATAGTCAATTCAAGTAAATACATAGTGATTTGTATCTACTAGTCGATTTACTATACTGAAAATGGGACTTACTGCAGCAGACGTCTCCAATCATGATTATGTCAAACATATGAAATGGGTCTCCCCATTCATCGGCCTCG